AAAAAAAAAAACGTTACTCAAGAAAGTGCGACTTTATAGTAGTATATCCCTAGATGCTGTGCTGGCTTTTTTTCCAGAAAATAAAATAAATAGATAAATAAATTAAATTTCAAGAAAATGACTTGTCATTGAACCAAAGTACTGTACAAGGTAGTAATGAAATAAATCTGATCATTTATTATGATTTTATGATGACATATGCACAGACAAACAGCTATATTTCCACAAGTTAAAGTCTCCTTTTTAAAAAAACAAAAATAAAGATAAATAAATTAAAAAAAAATGTTTAAGGCCCAGTCATTTTCGAGTTCACTATTCTAATCCAGAAAGTACTTGCAAAAAAAGTGGTAATATATAAATAAAAGGAAATGCTACGGTACCATCCCGTCGGGTGGTTTAACTGTTGGATCATCTATCTTATCTAACTACATGTGAATCCAGTGGTTAAAACACTCGACGGTATGGTACCGTAATGAGATCGTAGCATTTCCTATTAATCACATATTATGTTATGAAATATCATACTTTTATTTATCTATATTTGAGTTTGGAAGTATATATATATATATATATTAATTAAAAAAGTATTATGGTAATAGTACTGTTACTAATAATGAGTAAAAGAATAGTTAAATTAAAGAAAAATGACATGGAATATAATTTAGAATAAAATGTATGTATGTTGTCTTACACAGTAACAGCATGTCCCCCAAATGTGTAAAGAATGTTTGTAGCTCCTGTGAAATATAACACAATCTTGGTAGGACCTGAATGCTTCACCCCCTCAACCTGTCAAATTATTATTTAATTCAAAATGTAACTTGTACATATAATTAATCAAGAAAATAAAGAACACTTTTAAGCAAAATTAGGTCTCACTCACATGAGTAATATAGCAATTTAAGTCGTGTAATTTAAAACATTGCGGCAAATTTAGTAGTTTGACAGCTCAATTTTGACGGTCCAAATAAACATAATTAATTACATGACATAAATTGGGAAATTTGATGGCCAAAATGCTCTATGTAACTCCAACGTGACCTAAATTGCTACATATTCACACAATCGAATATGACCAAAATTGAAATTTAGCCAATATTCACATAACTTGTACATATAATTAATCAAGAAAAAAAAAAAAAAAAACTTTTAAGCAAAATTAGGTCTCACATGAGTAATGTATAGCAATTTAAGTCGTGTAAGTTAAAGTATTGCGACAAATTTAATAGCTTTGACAGCTTAAATTCTCAATTTTGACAGTCCGAATAACTGAAATTGCAACAAAATATTTAATTACATGACATAAATTGGGAAGAAAATTCATCCGAATATATATATTGAGAAATTTGATGGCCAAAATGCTATATGTAACTCCAATGTGACCTAAATTGCTACATTCACAATCGAATACGACCAAAATTGCAATTTAGCCGACATATACTATATAGTTATACTTCTCACGAAAACATTATATATGGAAAAGTATGTCGTTTCAGAGTGTAATATTTATGCATGAACGGGTCGACTCGCCTAACGATAAGACTGTGTCGAACATTATAATATTAATATTTAATAATTTTTTTTGTTACTAATTAAGTTAATTTAGTACCTGTCCATGAAGTAGAGATGCAATGGCAAGGTACCAAGCAGTGTAAGTGGTCATTAAGAGGCCAAGAAATGACCAAATTCTGTAGTTGTGGAAAGAAGGAATAAATACTGTTGTTGCACAACATGCCCCAAATATGTAAGTCCATGTTCTCTTGTCCAAATTGTCATTTATGTAATATATATTGCTGCAAAAAAATAAAAATAAAAATAAAACAATAGACACATCTATGTCAATGAACATTTTAATTTAAATTATTTAAAAATAAGCCAATCATTTGTGTACATATATCAAATCACCTCTCATTTTTTATGATAAAGATGATATATATTTCCTTATTATATATGACCATTAATTGATATTTTGTATACAAAAAATGAATATCTATGTAGTATGTATGTACCTTGCACAAGCAATGAGTTGGATCACAGATCCAAACAGAAGAAAGGTACAGTTAAAAGCCAGGCCCACATTCCTCCAGTATCTCCCCAGAAGCCCATCAAGAACTTCAAACCACTGCATAATAATTTAATATTCAGTAAAAAAAAAATAGAAATAACAAATAATAATATAAAATAATTGTTAACTGTATAAAAAAAGGGTGAACTGCAAAATGTAATTGACAATGTTGCCTTTTTATTTGTTTGGTTTCATATAGGGTTGCAAAGAGCCAAGCCGAGCCGAGTCGAACATTGACCTTATCGAGCAGGATTGAGTTTTTTTTTAGATGCTCGAGCTCATCGAGCTCGATTTTTTTAGGCTCGAGCTCGGCTCAAGTTCGGCTCAAAATTTTTAATTGAAAAGATAAAACTACCATTAAACATCTATGCTAATATATATAATAAGGGTTACTTTAGTAATTTAACGTGTATCTCGAGCCGCTCGACGAGGCAAAATATGGGCTCGAACCGCTCGAGCTCGACTCGAGTTCGATCAAACTCGAGCTCAAATCGAGCTTTGACTCGAGCGCTCGCGAGCCGCTCGATTCGTTTGCAGCCCTAGTTACATATTGGTTTAGTACTTATACGAAAAGTAAAATTATTAAATACTATTAATATTTTAATTATGAAAACCTGAATAACGTGATTTCTAAAATCAGCGCCTTTTTCCCTTTCTTTCCTTGTTCTATACTCGATGTAGAGAACAGTAATGATATAAGCCGTCCAGCTTCCCATTAAGCCGTAAAACAGCTGGAAAACTATTCCAGAAATCATGCCCAGCTGTGAAAATGAGTATGGCAATGTCAATAGCACTTGGGCCACCTGCCAAAAAATAAGCCAAATTCAATAAAATTCCAAAATTACCTATTCTATTCTAGCTTGCACAAAAAATAAATAAACAAAAAATAAACACAAAATTTTGATTATGTCCACTAACTTTGGACAAATGAAGAAAATTACAGTTCTAGCCCACTAATTTAAGATGTTTGTTATTTTTGTCCAGTAATTTATTGAGGTCCGAAATTGGTTCAATAAAATCGGATCAAATTGGCTAAAGTTGAAGAGTTAGTAGACTCATTTTGGACCACAATAAATTATTGGGCAGAAATGAATAACACGCTAAGTTAGTGGACTAAAACGGTAATTTTTTTTGACAAATGGCAAAGAATTTATGCAAGAAAATACTTGCTAAATAAAATAATAATAACAATAATAATAAAGTATAGTGGGCCCAAAAGTGCAATAATCATGCAAAACTATCCGTTATCTAATTTGTGAAAATTAACTTGGAAAATATGTCGAGCAATTCTTGTGATTGGGATGAATGTTCAAGATTTAATTAGTTTAGTGAATATTCGAAATTTAATTAGTAATTAAGTATTTTATGCAAGCTAAAAAATTATTAGACACAGTCGCCATTTTGCCCCAAAATTAATCCATATATTTTGCAATTTTACCTAAAATTTAAAATTTATGTCCAATGTAGAAATTAAAATTTAAAATATAGGAAAAAAATGCTACAGTCCCGTTACGGAATCATTCAATTGAAATTTTTAACCGTTAGATCATCATGAACCGCTTTGTGAATAGTTGATCTAATGGTTACAAACCTCTATCCACAGTATGGTTTAGTAACAAAACCATAAAATCTCCCTTAAATATGTAACCTACCTACCTACCTACAAGTCTACAACGATTATGAACTCAATTCACAAGGTTTTTTGGCCGGAAACATCCAAACACGGTGAGCGGTGAAAAAAAAAAGGAAAAAGAAAAAAAAAAAGTACCTGGTTCGAAGCACAGCTAAACCAGGCGTCATAAGCCGAGCCGCCGTGCCATAACAGCTCAGAAACCTTCGACTTGAAGCCTCTCGGCTCGTCTGACGACTCTCTTTCCATTTCTACGTAATTTCCGACCATTACAGTCTCCACCGACTTATCAGACGATTCCATTTTTCTCTTTTTCTTTTTTTTTTTCCTTTTTTTTTCCAACTGTTTTTGTTCTTAATATTAATGAACAAACATGCAGGTCGATGTGAAGATGAGGTGTGTGAGTGAGTGTTTTTGTGTGTCTATTTTTAGTAGACGAGTGTGTGTTTTTATATTAGTGAGATGGGCCCGTTTTGGGCCGCATTGTGGGCCTACTGGTAAAGTGCAATTTTACAATTACTGGTGGTGAAATAGTTTAAACTCGACTATTCAAAAGGTTCAATTTATAATTATAATGTTTCTCTTTTGTTAATTTATTGTCTCGTGTGATTGTGTTGTTAAACTTATTGATTATCAACTACAATTAATAATTAATATACAAGCGTGCCTTTATATTTATATTTTTTTTTATTATGTACTTCCAATATGCATGCACAAAGTCCCTTTTTATTAGTTAATATAATAATATTTAGGCACATGTCATGAAGTACGGTAGAATTATTGGTGTAAACGAGTCAAATAGAGTTAGAGATTCTGATGGTCGAGCCTTTTTTGGGTCGAGCTTGTTAACTAAATGAGTTAATAAACAAATTCAAACTCTAGTCATTTATCAATATTTACGGATTAAACTTGAGCCCGACGAGTTGATGAGTTAATTAAGTGAAAAAGTTTAGAGAATTGCAAAAAAAAAAAAGAAAAATTTCTATTCCCTAGCCTTAATAAGCCGAGTCTCGGCTCGATTCGTTTATTAACTCTATGCAGAATTGGCATTTGCCTTTTTTTTCTTTTTGGTAATTGTATTTGGAAAACATAATGATATAAATAGAAAACAATTTGTAACCATGTATGCAATTAAATCTTTTGACGACCCTATTTAGTGAAATAAAGGAAAATATTTTCATTCAAAAAATGCTTATTCCATATTGCAATGTTATATTTTTCTTAAAATTATTATTTTTAATTAACTCCTTAAAATAATATAATATTTCACCTTAAAAGTAGTTATGATTATTTTAATCACGTTCCATGAATGTAATTATATCTTTTGATAACCCTCTTTAGAGAACATATTATGCTTACTTAGTAAGAGGGTCTTGAGTTTGGTGAATTATAAGAAAACAGACCAAATGATTGCAGCCAAACAGGCGTGATGTCTTTTTTTTTTTTTTTTTTTTTTTTTTAAAAAAAAAAAACAATTAAAGTTATTTATTTATTTTTTTTTTCAGAATTGAAAATGTACCTTCTCAAGGGAACAACAAATGGAGTCATATTTATGTTTCAAATTTCACATGGATAATCATATTGTTTTTGTCTAAAGTATTTAAATTAATCCTAATTCAATAAGTTTGTTTATTGCCTATGTTTTTTTGTTGTTTTTTCAAATGTTATTCCAAATTTTCCATGGCTATCGATCTATCTCATTTGCAAGTTAACACACCTATGTACAACCAGAGTTATAAACGAGACGAGCCCAACTCAATTTTATGATGTTCGAGCTCGAACTTAAGCTCTTATCAATATGAGTTGATTAACGAGCTCTTAACAAGAGGTAAACAAACTAAATTCGATCAGTAACGAGTTGAATTATGCTAATAGTTCAAGAAGTTATAAAAAAAGTAAATATTTTTCAAGTTTGTCTAGCCAAGTCTAACTTACGAATAATAGCTTTATGTACAACCAAACAAAGCAGTATATATGTCTTTTTTATTATTATTATTATTATTATTATTATTATTATTATTATTATTATTATTATTATTTTGAAGTTGATAATTATACGTAAAGTAACATAGAAAAGTGGGAATTTTTATAATTTCAACCACTTTGGTATGATGATCTCAGATTTTTTTAAAAAAAAAAGGAAAAAAAATTAAAATCATGAAGAATTCAGTACGATTGCATCATTAAAAGTTAAAAACTCTAATACACACCATCATCACCTCAATTTCCCAAATCTTTTCAGGTGAATATATACATCTTTCTATTATTTATTTTTACTTACATATTTATTTGGAACATATGTAACATTTATAAAAAATCAGCAATTATCTTAATGTCATGCCATAAAATCCATATGATGATTAGAGGTGTTATTAATCTAACTGAATAGCTCGAATTTGAGCTCGTGCTCATTTATTAAAAGAGTCGGTTTATTTTATTAAAAAACAAGCACAGTTAGTTGTTCGAGCTCAATTTAAATAAACGATCGAGCCAAGCTCGAGTTTTCATGTTAAACTGAGTTGTGTTTGTGAAGTAACATTCGATTTGTTTAATAGCTTCACTGAACTTGTTTAATAAATAAACTTGATTGTCATGCGAGCTCTACTTAAGTAAAATAACAAGCCAAATTTTAGTCTTGACGAGTTGTCGTTATACGATATTTAACAACGATATTAACACGTAGTTATGAGTAAAACATGTAAATTTGTAATATATATAGATGATGTTGTGACACAGACAGTCGGTTTTTAGTGTCAACATAGTTGATTTTGTATGTATATGTCTCGAGTATCCACCATCCCCCTGGTACAAGAGCAAATTCAATTATTTATAGTAACTTTTCTCGGCTCGTAGTTTGAGATTGTACGGCCGCATTTAATGCAAAGTAGCTTTATGAGGCGATTTGTTGCAGTTGGGCCCACGGAGATGATGACGATATGTGTGGTGTTTAGTCATGTCGCGTAGGTGCTTTGTCACCTGTTCGGAGCTCGGTTTCGTGGACAAGTCGGGTTTAGAAAGAAATCGGGTGCCGGTTCAGGAGTGACGTCGGTTCTCTCGTCCGAGGTGTTGTAAGTACATTTCATCCATTTAAGTGTGGCGCTAAGGCCTTAGCGGCGCTAAGGTCCTCGGCAGCTTTGCATGACTTCACGGTTTGGGCTCGTTCGGGCTCGTCTGGGATCGGAATTCAATTCCGCTTTTTCCTATGCGTCACTAATGAGCCCCTCTTTCTAATGGTGCCAGCTTCCCCAAAAGATTCTCGATAACCTGTTCTCCCGAGGTCTCCAAACTACACACCAAAAACGAAAAGAGAACAGAAAAAGACCGGAAAACAAACAGAAAACACCGCAACACTCAAATGAACGCAAAACACATAATAAATGACAAAAAGATCCTAAAACCACCTAAACGACTCAATACGGGGGAAAAAGAACGGCAAAAAGACAACGAAAAACATAACAAAAATGGGACAAACAGTAACTTTTCTCGGCTCGTAGTTTGAGGTTTGTACGGCCGCATTTAATGCAAAGTAGCTTTATGAGGCGATTTGTTGCAGTTGGGCCTACAGAGATGATGACGATATGTGTGGTGTTTAGTCATGTCGCGTAGGTGCTTTGTCACCTGTTCGGAGCTCGGTTTCATGGTCAAGTCGGGCTTAGAAAGAAATTGGGTGCCGGTTCAGGAGTGACGTCGGTTCTCTCGTCCGAGGTGTTGTAAGTACATTTCATCCATTTAAGTGTGGCGTGACCAGGTCAGTTGTCAACCACTAAAATGTGTTTTAACTTTGAATATATTATGATGAAATTTGTTGGATATATGAATGGGATGAATCATGCAATGTACTATACATTGTCATTATTTTGTTGAATGGGGCCAAATGAAAACATTCCCTGATTGTCCCCTTTGACCACAGTCAATTTGATCGAATTTGCAGTATTTTTTCTTTTATTTCTAATAATTTTATATTTAAAATTTTTATTGTGTTTCGCAGCATTTTTTTTCTAAGGATTAATTAAATTATTTGTGATATATATGATGAAAAAAGATATTTAAAATTGGGATTAACAACCTTTTTTTTTTTTGGTACAATTATGTATAGAACTACTATTATGTAACTAAAAAGGGCAATAATACATACATACTATCATGATATAATATAGTCCAAACTCAAAATATGGTATTTTTTACTATCAGGCTTAAAAAATTGAAATGAACTCACTTATAATCTACATCCAATTAGGTTATTAATTGAAAAGCTTAAATTTGCTAGTTGTAAGCTTATAAAAATGTTACAAATAAGATAGATTCAAATTTGAAAAAACGGGGCGTTTGGACCAAAAATTAAAATTAACATTTATGCAAAGCTCGGTAGAAAAAGGTTTGGTAATTATTATGAAAAGGGACAACCAATAATTAACAATAATTGGAACAATTTTTTAAAACATTTTTTTTATGCTCATATATAGAGAAATAATGATTCAAAGTTTTTCATTTGGTCAATTTTGTCTCCTCCTTAATCTCCTTTTGTAGACAAAAAAAACAAAAAAAAAAAAAAAAAAAAAAAAAAAAAAACTTTCATATCTTAAATAAATAATAATAATAAAGTCATTCTTATCTGTGGTCATTTGAATCTAACTCATCCAAGCATTTCATATTCGAGTTCGTACTCATTTGATAAACGAGTTAACTATTTTAACATACTCAAAATCGTAACTAAATTAAAGACTAGACTCAATCTCGACTCGTTTAACATACTCAAAAATTACAAACGAATTATTTGCAAAATTGATTTCTCTGCATTTACAAACATGCTCGGTTGTTCAAAACCTATACAAATTATTGATCTTGTTTAGCAATCTTTGATCATTAATAACTAGTACGTACCCCGTGCGATGCACGGACTGTATTTATTTTGGTAAAATTTATAATTGAAGGCTATTAATCAATAAGTTATAATACATTGAGTATTTGTTAGGTAATCGTAAAATTCATCATGAAAAAATTATACATTATTAAAAATCTCTTTGTTTTTCCATGCAAAATTATTTTTCACTTGGTAACCGCAAATCGATATTTACCAAGATTGCTCTCCACTTGATAATTGTGAATTGAATAGACACCTCATTCCTAAATTTTTTTGTAGATTTTCGGAATGTTACCACCCTGAAATAAAACTATAGTGAAAATATGTAATATTGTGATAGATACTAAAGATATGATTATCTGGTGAAGTTTAATTTTATATCGAGTATAAGGAAAAAATTGTTACCTTAAAGTTAAAGTGTGGATTTTGAGTATATTTTTATTTTTTTTGTCAATCATTCTCATTTTTTATGCTAAATTTATTCCAAAAGTTGAGAATGATTTTGTTTTGTTATGTTAACAGAGATTTGGAATTTTGGTTGTATCTTTTGTAAAATATTTTTATAAAAATAATTACGTTTAAAAAAAAAACGACAACGATATTTTATCATTTGTACATAAAAAAAATAGCTAAATGAATCGGAGGACATGTAAATCAGGGTTTTTAAATGAAAAATATGTTTCATAAAAAAAGTGATAAGAAAATGATTCAAAATGATAAAAAGAAAATCGTATATTATAACAAAAAGATGTTTACATGAGTAGTGGATTAGTGAATCAAAAAATTTCGCAATTTTAAAGAACATGTTACCATGATTGAAATGAAATCTTTAGAATATTTTTTACTTTTAGTTAAGTTGCATATATTGCATAACTATATATGAAAAAATAAATTATTTAAAGTTCAAATAGGTGATTCATTTATATGTATATAATAAAGTGTATAGTCCAAATTAATTAAATTTTATTTAGTATTTATATTGTTAATATTGATACCGTGATTATTGTATAGCCCAAGTCTCATTTTTACGGTAAATTTATATTATATTAAAATGAATTGGTAAGTCTAAAAAAGGATATGGATTGAATTAAAAAGATTAAATCGTGGTTAAATATCTTGATATCATAATTATACTGTTTTTAAAAAAATATTCCATAACATTTGGTTCCATAATAATATTGCTTTTAAATATAATTGATTCCAAATAGCCGATTTACTGTTTAATCAAATATCTTTTTAAAAACATCTAATTATTAATTTATTTTTTGTTTTTTATTTATTTATTTTTATTTTGCCAATTGACAATATTATGTTTGATCACATTGTGCACGCAGATAATTTTTTAGATATAAAATTCGTAAATTAAACAAATATCTTATGTGGTTCACAATCCATATAAACAATTGACATTTGTCAAAATTTATGTGATAACAACATTTATGCATTGTAAATGCTCTTATATTGTTTTAAATAATTTCAAATATACTTCTATCCATTCCAAATAAAATTCATACTATTTAAATTCGAACATTTCGTACCAAAAATAAATCACCCACTTTATACCACAAAATCGAACATTTATTTTAACAACACATTTTCTATGAAAAAATAAAAATGACTATCAGATACTTAAAATAAAATTAACAACTTTATACATTGAATTTATTAATTTTGTCAATTTTATACCATAAATTAATTAAGTATTTTTTAAAAATCATTTCTACATTTTGTCCAAAATATTTGTTAGCAGCACATAAATGTTATTTATATTTTTGTATTTGCTTATCTTGTCTACGAAGAAAAAGATAATCTTGCAACTCTACTATGCCAAGAAAAAGATGTAGGAAAAATAATATAAGTATTAATTTTATGTTTTACTCAATATAGGAAATATAATAAAGATATAAAGATTAACGATTAATTTTATATAATTGCTCAATCAAGTCTATATATTTATACTAAGAAATTCGAAAGTTTCTATAATACCCTTATATTTTTTCCATAAAATTAAATCATCCTAAATTTAAATTCAACTAATAAAGATAATAACTATAAATATTTGACTAAAAAGATTATGTACATTAATTATATTGATTTTTGTTAATTTACTATTTTTAGATAGTAATTAATGAAATTGGCGGAAAAATTTTCTAAAAGTGAATTATGTTAATCCTTATTATATATTAGTAGATAACTCGCCATGCTTTGACACATGTAAATGCATCAATCATATTCGAATAGTTGAATTTGTTAACTGAATTCCTAAATACCGCACCCATTTTAATGATACCGCACCCATAAAAGACT